CTAGTTTAGATCTTAAAATGAGAAATTCTGTACCTATATTTATAAGACTAGGCGAGACCACAGCCGGACAGTTCTATTCCATGTATATTCCCTTGAATTTTGTAGACGGTGCTCCTTGAGTACATATACATCATTAATGGAAGTAAGGAATTAGGCATATCCTCTGCTCAAGTGGTCTGTGCGCTTGAGGTCAGTCGCACAATAGGGCACAAAGTACATAACTAGATCGTTCACTACGCTAAGCTCAAATAGCTGAAGCACTACCTGATTAAGAGAAGCGGGTTATGTGTCTAGACTAACAAGACGGTAGCAATGGAAATATTTGTTGGTCGAACAAAGGGGGCTCCTAATGTTGCCTAACATGAAGCATCATGTCCATACATCCGAGTACATATATAACACCTTACACCTGTGATAATGCGTACAAGCAATTTTAAACAATACTCCAACACTTTGTTATTCCATTTGAGTTCTTACCAAAGGCCAAACCAGTTATTTAGTTTCATTTCTCCTATTCCACATCCCAACTCAAGAGCACAAAACACATCGCTCTTGTGTGTCTCATCCCATCCTCGGCCGACCTTCAGCTGCCTCTCGAATATCACAATACAAACCACTGAGATGTCTTCCTCGCTGGTTCAACGGCCTTCTAAGTCTTCAACGCGCCGCCTTGTTGACTTCTACGACCCTTCAACCAAAGATGCCGATGCGGAGGGGCGCACACTAGACGGAATCCTAGGGTGGGACGACGACCTCCTCGAGGCTCACCACAGCTACATCCAGACCATCTTCCCTCTACCCGAGGCATCAGGATTCGGCCACTCCGCCCCCATCATAGACGAAGAGACTATGTTGATCTTCCGAAACTCGCCCGAACTCAAGAGCAGTCTTCTTCGCGCGCTGGAGCGCATGCTCGCCTTCTACGGGTTCAACCTCGAAGTCAGGGACCCATCGGGCAGCACCAATGCACCCCAGGTCACTATATCACCGAAGGAGAACACCGAGGAAAACTTTGCGCGCTGGCTTAGGCGCATTGACCACAATCATCTGCGTATCACCCGCATCATTCGGAGCCTGCGAGTTCTCGGCCTCGAAGACGCGGCAAGGGCTTTCTTCGAGGCGTTGATTGATGTCATCAGGACCTATGGTCGGGTTGGGTCTAGCAGCATCGGTTTCTGGACGCGCGCTTTGAACGCGCCCCTGCGGCAGGCGCCCGATGGCACGGTGGTTGCGTGGCTTGAGAAATATTGAGGAAGGCATCCGTAAGAGTAGAGTGGTGAAGAGGCACAGGTGTGCTCAAGGGTTAAAAGATGTGTCTAGGGGTGCTAAGGGCTAATAACTGTGATGGACTCATGAATCTCGTGGTTTAGCTCGTCCTTTATGAGTTTAAGGGTCATGAAAGAAAGGGGTAATACCGCTTCGACATGCATGCAATTACAGGATAGCATCTAGACTAATGCGGCACCCCCAAAATCCACAGACACACTATTTTCATCTATGCAATCATATTGAAGTCAGCCGTACTCATTATATTATCTAGAACGTTATTATCCAAACCGAGGAGAGTGCTTCGAGAATTGACAGTTGACACATGCGTAGGTAAAGTTGTTTAGTGCACTTAAACCCTTGAATTAGTCCGACTGCCTGTTACCCATGTTTCTTCTATATTGGCCTTTTCGTTGTAGATGTCAAGGACAATGATTACCGCTCTCTAATGTAAAATGAGACGCTGCTCTTAAATTTACACCCTTTCCGAAAACCATACCGGAGTCATGTATTCAGTGACTAAGATTGTTGGAAATGACGTCTGCATGTTCTTCAGTAATTATCTCTGCGAGGGTAACATTCGGCACTTCCGCTCCAGGTGGTCAGCTCGTCTACCTGCGTGGCGAGAGAATACTAAATATTCTTTTCCAAAGACTATACTTGCCGGTAAGTATAGATTCTCGGCTACTAACAATCATAAGCTTCTTCTTAGAAAGATGAATAAAGATACGTATAATTGCCTTTTGTCGATATGAGATTATACACCGTTATTATTATGTATGCGAATTGTATTTATGAACCGTTTAATGATGATCAGCTGCTTCTCATTTCATACTGCGGTATAGGGCTTAGTGAACGCCCTACTATCCAGAGTCCCCTTGTTCGTTTTAGCATATTGTAACTATGAAGGTACAATAATCAACCTTTATCAACACTACCAAATATATCACTTATCATAGGATCGTTACTTCATCCCTGGGTACAAATTATGGAGGGAAAAGATTAGCTTCAGTGACTTATCAAGGCTGCCTATATCGGGCAAAAATGAAATCATGTCTAATGTTATACGCAGTGGAGATATGAGCTTTAGGATTAGAACGAGGCAACCGTACAGAGACAGTGATTAAGCTAGAGCTGATAGCACCTCGTAGTTGATAATGTTCTAACCTAGGGTACCGTGTCCAAGACATGGTCAGTTTATAAATCACGGCTCAGCGTTATGATTCAGTACTTGCCCGGTGCTGCCGGCCGACCGACCGATGGCTTGTCCACGCCGGACGGGGTGGAGCAACATAAGTGGTGTCATCGGTCTCAGTCCCCACGAGTGAATGTCTTGAAGCTAACAGGCTCGGCTGTTGATTTTGTTGACGTGGCGACCTTGGAGATAGCAAGTAAATGCGCAAGAACAGTTCGGAAAATGCAGGCGAGCATGAAAAAGTACGAGAGATAGAAATATACACAAGGAGAACATAAAGGATGTCGAGAAAAGCTGCCCCACTATAAAAGTCCAAGGCTCCAAAGCAGGCATGCACTGCTAGCCAACATATTTTTTAATGTTGAAAAAAGTACCTACAAAAGAGAGACGGTAGACGGTTTAATCGACGGTGCGTTTTCGAGCAAACGTAAGGCCAAGACCAAAAACGGCTTTCAGTATTAGGTCGATCAAACTGGCCAAAAGCTTTCTATTGTAAGAGAGCCGTCAGTCACGTGAAAAGGCGCTTCCCACCCCACCCTACGCAGTCCCTAAGAGGTATGTACTAATCTTCTGGTAATATGTAAGTCTCCGTACCTTAGATGTAACGCAGCATTATATATGATTTATGAAAGCTACCAAAATCCGCCTTTACGTTTCAGAAGAATGGAAAACTTTACATGCAAGCTTCAAAGGCTTGACGTTTCCAGATCCATACCAGCAACCTTCATCTTACCAAAAGTCATTTAAATTACCTACGGGAAATGATAGAAGAGATAGTCATATACAGATTCCCAACTGATTGTATAGTCGTCAAGGTAGACCCCATTGATTCGTAGGATTACCTAAGGTTTACAGGCATCAAAACCCTATAATTGTAAGCGAGAGCATGGACCATGTGCAATAAAGTCTGTGAATTGCTATCTGCTGGGGGCAAGTTTGTGGCGGAAGGTTTGTGGCAAAGGCTTGTGGCTTACGTGTTGAATATGCCCCACTAGCCCCCAGATTAGCCGGAACCCTATGTACCTAGGTACCCTACCCACACGAGCCGCAACTCTTTTTTTTTACACATAATCGAACCAATTTCCGCAGGATACATTCTGCAAACCGCGACACGACCGAGTCGACACACCACAAATACCACAAAGATGCCGACTCGACTAAGCAAGACGCGCAAGCACCGTGGCCACGTTAGCGCTGGTCACGGTCGTGTAGGAAAGCACAGGAAGCATCCGGGTGGTCGTGGTATGGCTGGTGGCCAGGCAAGAAAACAACGCCCTTCATCATCACCGACCCTGCAGCTGACTCCTCGACTAGCACCACCACCGTACCAATTTGGATCGTTACCATCCCGGTTACTTCGGTAAGGTCGGTATGCGTCGTTACCATCTGCTCAAGAACTCGCAATGGAACCCGATTATCAACATTGACAAGGTACTAATCATGTCCCCCTGCGCGGCCTGTCGACACTTTGATTAATGCCCATTGGTCTAGCTCGCCTCCCTACTTACCGACGAGATGCGCGAGAAATACTTGTCCGGCAAAGCTCAAGACACCATGCCCGCCATCGACCTGCTAAACCTCGGTTACTCCAAGCTGCTCGGCAAGGGCCGCCTTCCCGAGTTCCCCATCCTCGTCCGCGCGAGATTTGTCAGCAAGTTGGCTGAAAAGAAGATCACAGAGGCCGGTGGCGCCATCGAGCTGGTGGCATAAGAAGTGAACGGGTGATGAAAAACACATGGGTGTACTACGACTTGAACACAAGATCGTGGAGGCGTTTGGGCTGGTAGCATAAACACTGGACCGGATGACATAGCATGAATATATTGCGACGATAGCAATAATCACAATTCTACGAGATCAAAACCACCATGGCTTGACTGGGCACACTCGGTGAATTGTACGCTTAGCTCGAATAGCTACTGCTCTCGACTGCATTGATAATAAAAGCCAGTCTTGATGATTTGATGGAGCCAGGAACCCAGTGTCTATTTGTGTCAACAGTAGAATGAACGTAAGATTCAAACGAGACAAGGACTGGTTACTACTAGCTCTAATGCTCTAATCTTTGAACAACTATGTGCTTACGATTCCCTACTGCATTCTTTCATGTTCTGGGACTAGGGTAATACAAATATGCGAGTCCAGCTGCTGTCGGGCATTCATCGCCCTCCCGCACTCCGGTGGTCCTTGAAACCTTTTGTTCCGGTGAACACCTAGGCTAAGTTGATAGGCGAATGACATTTCTAAGAGGCACTGGAGTAGCTGGCCTCGCTCTTTATCGTAGCTTATACAAGGTAAGCATGTGGTCGTCCCAGGTCATTCGCCTTGCCAACTTCTTCAGCTTGGTCTTCGTTTGTACCAAATACATTCTAAAATCTACAGCGAGGTACACAGTTCAACATTCAGTGGGGACTGGCTAAGGGTTCGTGAAGGCAGTGATCTAGACCACGATTGTATAGTTGACCTAAGTTTGATGGGGCAGGCTGCGTCTCTTAACATCTCATATGGTGCCTCTTGATGTTCATGTGGACTTCAGTATGGGTTGATGGTCTAGGGGTATGATACTCCCTTCGCATCTGAATATTCTCGTCATTGCCTGGGAGGGGTCCGGGGTTCAATTCCCCGTCAATCCATTGATTTTCCTTTTTTGATTTTTTTGTGACGCACATTCCTCTAGAAGGAGTGGACGCGGGTTATATACATAACAAGCCCTTGAGGGTTGAGATGGTAAATATATTCAGACTACATATCGCCTGACTACGGCTCATGGACCCTAGAAAGCTTGAGTAACTGCTTCGCAGAACGCTCTCATAATGCTAAATACTATTAATCAAGCAATGTGGACTTCAGCCCTTCATGTACGTAATCTCTCTGGTGCCGTTATCGTCAAAAATATTTCTAGAAGCACGTGATAATTTCAATAGCGACATCACGTTTCAAGTTACGACTAGGTAAAAGGCTCCGGATTCTTCATGGGTAAAGCTATCAAGCCACTGCCGACTCCGGTGACACAGGCTTCTTATACGTAGCCTTACGGCCCCGTATGGTGTGTGCCGGCTACAACATATTCTTCTCCTAGGTAGGAGTCGTCACGTACGTGAAAAATCAAGTTGAGCAACCACGAGAGTATAATCACAGCTCATTTCGAATGAAACACGAAAGTTCAACGATGCAAAGGGTCGTGCCAAGGACTGAAAAGATCTGTATGATAAGATAAGTTGCGATGAATACATAGGCAGAGCGGGACCACTAAGCGTGGTATAAGTTAGACTAGGGGTTGCTTATTGGATTGTGAACACTAACTAGCACAATGTAAGCCAGGACTTAACTCTCTACAAAGCTGCGTCCTTGCCCTTCTTTCATGGAGTCATTAACAGCAATATTTCTGTCTTGGCTTCCAGTTGGATTTGTCGCAGAGACGCTGGATGTGCAACCAGCGTACCCAACCCGAGCTGGTCAGCAGCGGTGCCGTGGCAGCCAATAGGCACGTCGACTGTTTCGTGCCCTGTTCGAAGCTGAACATCGATACCAGTGTGGACACATGCAGCCTTGGTCCATGCCTGTATAACTGAGGGCATCAATGTGGGCAGCCATGTCCCCTTTGTCTGGATGGAGCAGCAGTAAGGCCCTCGGTGGTACTTGAAAAGGCACGCACTACCCCGAGCACCGTGCCATATTGCCAGTACGCAGAGCTGAGGCATCCTCTGAGCGGCCGTAGCCGCATTGAGAAGCATTTTGGTGAGAGCGTGGGCGCCATCTTGTGTTGAGGCTTGGCTAGGGTCCAGTAGCCGCGATGTCAAGACCAAGGTGTTCAGGCGCTCCCACGTTACGGACTGTAAGGGCTGGGTCAAAGCAGCCTCGAAAAAGTGTTCAGCATCAACGTTGAAGGAAGCTGACAGCCGCTCGAGGTTAGTGGCAGCTTGTGCCAAAGCTACCCCAGTGGTAGGGGCTGGTATCCGTGGTGATTTAGCAATAAGTACGTGTGGGTGCGGATAGAAGGGAGTGCCCTCAGCGAGGTTGTAGTAGTTCTCGTTAGAATCTTCGAACAGTGTCAAGGCCCGAAGGCCACATGGTAACTGCGACTGGAGCAAATTCTCCAGCTCTAAGAGACCTATTAACACTCGCCGTCGTTCCCGTCAAGATATCAAGGAGCTTGTCACTTGCCTCGATAGCTAGCCTCTTGCGTGGGTTCTGACCAGTTACGCCATTGTTCATAATGAATCTCTTCAAGTCGAGAACACCTGCTGATAAGCTTGGCAAGGCAGTCCGGGCCGAATCGTCGGCGGGTCTGCCGCCTTATAAGGAAATGAGTGACAACATGATTAGTTGCGAGATCCGCCGGTTTGGCTAATCCAGAAAGATTCACATTTTCGAATAACCTGAGAACGTTACGAAGGGGCGCTCTTTCAATAAGCTGGCCATTAGCCCATCCATGGCCAACCGGACTCCCCGCTGTGGGTAAATTAGGCTCAGCGTCGCCAAATACTAAATGTCTATAGAGCCTCGCGTCAGCAGGCGAGTATGCGTCTATCTCCAAAGTCAGGCTTTCCGAATCTGCGCGCGCCCATGACCCGAGAGTGGAGAACAAGCAGCAGATTGCTGCCGTGATCTCATTGTCGTTGCGAAGGTGCCAACTTGGCGCCTCGTGAAACCGGCAATCCGGGGTGTCGTAGTTATCAAGCTTGATACGCAGACATATGTGCTTGATGGCCCTCCTAACCTCCCGGCGATGCAACTGAGCGAATACGTCTAGGTCTGGAGTGTAAAATGGATATGAAGATAAGCTACGTTTGTGTATTAATGTGAGCCGGCGGAAATTGGCCCTCTCGAACACCGCTCTCCATTCGTTGCAGACTGGGGCATACTCAGAACTAGGGGAAATGTGATCCGGAAGCAAACTCAGAATTTCCAGCCGTATCTCGGTCGGAAGCGACCACCAAGAGCCTTTAGATGTCATGATCGAGTTTTCAGTGAGAAATCGATGTCCAAAAAGGTCTACGTCGATAAACAGAGGCTTGGTGATCATTTGCGGGAGGCCATAAAGATGAGTTGTACTAGGAGTAGAAAATTGTCTTGATCTTTGTGTGAGTTCTTACAGCGTAGCCAGCCATTTATGATAATTAAGATACCTGGCCACTTTACTGACCGTGGAATGGAAACATCAACTTCGACGATTCACTCACAGCCGGATCAAGCTTGTGTCACCCAGGTTTTAGAATTTCAATATGTCTACTTAGGTGCCTAAACAGGGCAGTAGGAGAAAGAGAAAAGTACACAAGTCTGTAAGTTCAAGCTTTATCGAAGTCGCCATCGTTCACTAGAAGCTCCGATTCACCATGTATTGGATTGCGAGAAGCGAATGCGAGTTTATGGCAGGCGGTGCAAATAGGATAGTTGCTCCATCTCTGACTACAACTATCTTGGAACCTACAGTTCTCGGTACCAATTGGTCTCGTAAATTAGTCTCTTCCATAGCCGATGGCTATCAAAATGGTAAAGGTGTCGTGGGCTTCCTTACTGAGTTACCCAGCATTTCTGACAGGGTAACTTGATTAAGTTGGTATTTTCATATGCATACTTTAATTCCACAAATAAACAGTAGTAACGTGATCTAAATACAAGGAACTACTTGATCGGAATGGCCATGAGTGAATGGAATGAAGTTGTATGTGCAAAACGCCCAGTTAATTGGTGGAACGAAGCGCTGGCTTCATAGCCAACCCGAATATGGAGATAGACCCTTGCGCTGTTGCACCAATCACACTACTCCATTCCGGTAGAATATATTCACATTCCAACCTATTATTATTGTAACTATTTCAGTGCGCTTATCGATTTTGCAATAATATTTATAGTTAAATATCATGTTTATTTAACTACTCCCCTTTGAGTGAGAGTCTTATTAAGCCGCTACATATGTTATGAATGAGTGGCGCAGAGGGGAGCTGAAATGCACAGCTACGTGAAGTGATATGTGATGATGCGAGCCTATTGGCTGCGTAGCTTTGATTCATTGGCTTTTGCAGAGTACCTTGTTCTTTGCAGCCCGATTTTATGTTAGACGAAAAGTTGATGGACTCCGTCTCTGCTTGCTGGATACAATCATCTTAATCTCGTTTTGATTCTGCCTACATACACCCAATGAGATATGCTTTGCGAAAAATGCCAGTACGCAGAAGACCAATGGGGCAACCCCCCAATGCCCGAAGCGGCTTTCGATCTGTTCCAGGACATGTTGCCCTTTATTCAGATTCCTCCAGTCGAGCATCATGAGAGCCCCGCAGAATTGAAAGATTGCGCTGACAAGAACAATTGCCCCTTCTGCAAGCTGATATACGCGGCAATCCTCGACCATCAGCGCCAAGAATGTGAGGGACAAGAACTGCCCTCAGCTCGAATTGTGCTTGAGAGATTCGGCAGCGATGACGGAGCCGGAACAAACGCGGGGATTCAGATCCTGATTAATGGTGGACGATGGGGATCCATGGATGTGTACCCGATGAAAGGTCTGATACTAGGCCGTTATTGTCTTTCCCGAGCAATATTTTAACTGACACTAAGACCAGATAGTGTTGCCAAAGTCCTAGACAAGTGCGCAGATGGGGAAGACAAGAGCACAAGCTCTGAGGCAGCTTTCAAAATCGCCAAATTCTGGTTTCTAGAGTGCCGAATATCCCATAAAAATTGTAGAACACACAACGGAGGAGTTCCATTTCTCCCTACGCGTGTGGTGGACGTTGGACCTAAGGACGGTTCACAGGAACCTCGCCTGCACGAGAGACGTGGGTGGGAAAAGCGCAAATACTTCGCTCTGAGCCACCGATGGGGCAATTCCGATCGTCTCGACCAGACAAAAACCGTCAAGAATAATTACAAGCAGTATCTACAGGCCATCCCGATTGGTAGTCTACCCCTCACCTTTCAGCATGCAATCCAAATCACCAGAGAGTTTGACTGTCGGTACATCTGGATCGACTCGCTCTGCATCATTCAGGATTCGCGAGAGGATTGGAGCTCAGAATCACAGCGTATGGACGCTGTCTATCGGCGAGCCGACCTCACACTCGCAGCCATCGACGCAACCAGCGCGGAGTCCGGCTGTTACTCTGACCGAGACGGGCTGAGCATCCGGCCATGCCGCGTCAAGATCTACCGGCCGCCGAAGGAGTTCGATGCATATTCCGGCATCCCCGGCGACTTGTTTGTATTTCCGAAGGTCAGGTTCGACAGAAGCCGGTCTAACCACCGGCGGTTCGCGTCCCTTGATGGACGGGGCTGGTGCCTGCAGGAGCGAGTGCTGTCGACGCGCGTGCTGAGCTACGGCAGAGACGGGCTGTACTGGGAATGCGCGACGGCAGATGCGTCGGAGATCGCCCCCGAAGGCATCGAGCGGGACAGCCGGTCAACAGGCAACGAGTACATGCGGGTGCTGAAGCTGCTAACCATCGGCGTGAACATCAAGAGCCGCTACATATCCGATTTCAAGGACCCGCACCGAGCCTGGCACTTATTTGCCGAGGACTACTCGCGGAGGCACCTGACCCAGGACACGGACAAGCACATCGCCATAGTCGGCGCGGCCAAGAGCCTCTCCAGCACCGATTGGAATATCTACCACGCGGGTGTGTGGACG